GCAATTGCCCCATATTAAATATGTTGAAAAAATGTAATTAATGTGTGTATAAAAATTTTAAAAGAAAATTATAAAATCTAAATAAAATATGATGTGTTAATGATATGTGGATGCTTAGGTGGCTTGATGAGAAGAGATAAAAGCTTTCTTTATATATATAGAATATACTCGTGCGGCTTCATGAGAAGAGATAAAATCTAGAATATGTTCGCGCGGTGCTCAAGTTTTTGTTTCATATTTTATTAAAGTTATTAAATAACCAGAAATAAAATATATTATATTTTTTTTCAAAAATCTGATATATTTAATTATGTATATGTTTTTATGTATGTTTTTTAATTAATTTATGGTATCTTAATGTATTTTTATTTTATCATTAAAAATTAACTCTGTTACGTTTTTATATTAATAATTTTGTCTTAGTTAACATATATTACATTTTTGATGCTGATGTAGATTTCAGTATTTACTTTTATGTTATTTTCTAAAACTATATATATATTTTTATTGTAAGTTTGGATCTTTAACTTTCATAATGTTAAATTATTGTTTAAATTCTAATTTCTTAACCTATAAAACTAACGACATAGAAAAGCTTTCTTGCAAATGAAGAAAATTATTAAAAAAATGAGAAATTTTAAAAAATGCCACTTTTCAAATGTCACGTTACAAAAATGCCATATTTTTTAAATCTTTACAAAATTGCCATTTTTTCAAAATTTTTTTTTTATATTATTTATATTTGGGTTAATTATGTTCTATTAAGATTTAGTTTTGAGTGTTTAGGGGGTTTTAGGTGTCAAAACATTTTTTAGGGTTTAGAATTTTAAGATATAGGTTTTATAAATCTATAATTAGTAGCATTTTTGTAAATGGACATCTATAAGTGGCATTCTTGCAAATGTGTACATAAAAAATGGCATTTTTGTAATTGCCCCAAAAAAAATTGTGGTACAACCATTTTTGAATTAGACGTCTTATTTTATCAAAAAATATATTTTATTTTAGATTAGTTTAAATAGTAATTTTATTACATGATATATCGTCTCATATTTACGTATTAGTATCTTGATTTTCTTTTGCTTATTTCTTATAATAACATTTAATTTTTGTTTGATCTAAAAGGTATTTTATTTAACTATATTAATATAAGTTTTTTTATTTTTAATTTTCTTTAGAATAAGAAAAATGGTTTTTCAAATTCCTCTATCAAAATTTTAAATTGAAAATTATAAAATTATAAAATCTAAATAAAATATTATGTGTCAATGACATGTGGATCCTTTATATATAGAGAAATTTCAAAAAATGCCACTTTTCAAGTGCCATTTTACAAAAATGCCACACTTGAAATCTTTACAAAAACGTTATTTTTTCAAAATTATATTTTCTTTATATTATTTATGTTTGGGTTAATTATGTTCTATTAGGGTTTAGTTTTGAGGGTTTAGGGGGTTTTAGGAGTCAAAACATTTTTTAGGGTTTAAAATTTGGGGCAATTACAAAAATGCCATTTTTTGTGTGCACATTTGCAAAAATGCCACTTAGGGGTGTCCAGTTACAAAAATGCCACTAATTATAGATTTATAAAACCTATATCTTCAAATTCTAAACCCTAAAAAATGTTTTGACACCTAAAACCCCATAAACACTCAAAACTAAACCCTAATAGAACATAATTAACCCAAACATAAATAATATAAAGAAAAAATAATTTTGAAAAAGTAACATTTTTGTAAAAATTTCAAAAATGTGGCATTTTTGTAAAGTGGCACTTGAAAAG